ATAATTGTTGAAATATTTCTACTCGCCGAGACCCGCTCCTGCCTGCTCACTCTGAATCTCCCAGGCCTCGCTCCCCTTACATGTGCTCTCCCATCTGAAGAGGTCCCTTCTGCTCAACTCCATCTGTGCTGAGAAATTTGTTTACCACGTGCATCTGCTAAACCATTCGATGGCAGCATCTAGCATGACACGCAGTGGTCAAGGTGGAAATATAGAGATATGAAAACGAGTCATCCTGTGCTTTGAAAAGTGCTGGGATACGTGCTTGTGGCTCTGAAAGCAGCGTGCTCTACACCAGTCTGCTTCAGCCCCCGAAAGCATGGATGTTCCCAATGAGCTGAGCTGTTAGTGAAGGATCTGGCTGGTAAAAATACCCTGGACATGTTTTTAGGGTCATCTCTTGTTTAGGATCTTCTTTGTGCATGTGCTAATGCTCCACCAATCGTCTCTCCTGACTTTTGCTGGGTGCTTAAATGTAAGCACCTCTCTGCTCGATGAAATGGGTGCTGGTACCTCGGCCTCTCCAGCTCACAGTTCACAGCGTTCGGGCTCAAAGGGACACTGCTTTCCCCCTCATCACTCCCTCGGGGACAGGTATCTCTGGCAGGGCGACGAGAGGCTGGGAGACTCACCCATTCTCCTATGACACTCAGTTTGGTTTTGGTAGAAAGCCCCAGCTCAGGACACAGCACAGCGAGGCCTGCTGCTGCTGCTTGGTGTGCCCATGTCTACAGCAAATTTCATGGGAGTCACTCTGAGAAGAGCGATGTCACCCCCAAGGAGGAAACGTGTCCTTGTCATCCCACCTCTAGTGGAGCATGTCCTCCATCTGCACAGAGCAGCTACGCTGGAACAGCAGATACATCAGTATCAACTTGTGCAGAAGGCTTGCTCCCTGCCAGCACCTGCGTGACACCACGCTGAGCAATATCATCCCTGAAATACAGAGATGTGCAACAGGAAGGTCCACACCTCCAAAGACCCACCACATGCTGACCCTTACTCCACCCCAACCAGCACTACAAATAAGGTCACGTCAACATCGCATGGCTGCAACCCACATAGTTGCAATCCAAATACCATAATTATTTTACCAAGGACGAAAGGGGCAGTAAACAAGCAAATGGAGCGAGGAAGTTTGCCCAGAAAGCCTCTGAGATACCAAAATTGAGGTCAGAGGTCTACAGGCAGTTGCAGGCATTTCCAGAAGATGATCTGTGTTTTCCAAAGCCCTCTTCCAGCCAGACCACCAGCAGTCCCCTGACCTGGGAGCTGGCTTCATTCAGGAGTGAGTGTGCTTAGACAGTGTTTGGCTCAAAGAGCAAAGCAAACAGAAAAGTCGTGCTCTGTGAAGGTTTTCATGAATGGCTTCCTCCATTCCCCCTTCACTGGCTTATATGCTTCTCACCAGCAGAGGAATCTGTATGCAAATCACCCTCCTGATTAAATGCAGAAGCAGACAACGTTACAGGGAATTAGGCAGCATAATAAATGGGTTTATACCTTAAAAAAATGCTGTGGAACAAGGAATTGCAGTGACAGCCCAAAGGCCACCTTCATGCCCCGAAGGCGAACAAACCAGGAAGACCCAAGTGTGACACCAGCCAGATTTTATAACAATTTATGTCAGAACAATGAATTTGGATTTCTACCAAATTCATTATTGGCAGTAAGCAAGTAATTCAGCAGAGCCCTGGTGCAGCGCACTTTTCTGCAGAATCTGCCAGCAAGCTGGCTTCCAGCTCTTGCAGTCAAAGAGGTGACAAGAGGGGTTTGCAGGTACCTCCCACAAAGGCTCTCACCTGCCTGGGGCAGTGCGATGTTCTCAGCCACCAGCTTAGCCCGGTGCACCAACATCAAAGTGCCTCTGAGCTGGTACATCCCTGCTGTGGGGCTGGTGACCCGGGTTAGGGCGAGCGGAGGTGCGGTGGGGGAGGACAGGTAAGCTCTGAACCTTGTGTCTCCGTGTTTACTCCCCGCTTGTTCCTTGCTGAACTAGCCTGAAGAGGCCAACCTTCCCAGGTGGATATATCACCCTGGAGGTATGCTCTGAGACCACGAGTGGGTCTGTTGAAGAGTACTGAAGAGCATCAGCAACTTCTGGCTACTGCTGCTCCATGCCCGATGCAGGACAGTGCGTAAAATAGTTTCTTTTAGCCAAGCTCCAAAGTTAAGCACATGCTTAAACAGTTTTCTTGCATAAAGATGCATTCCCAAATCAGACTGTTAGTCTAGATTAATGCCGGCCAGCTACAGATGAACTTCTCTGAGTCATTCCCTGGAGACATCAGGTCTCCTAAAATAGCAACAACAACAGAATCCATAGAAAGGCTTGAATATTTCGACTGAAAGCTATCATCACAATGCTTTACATAAGTGTGGCGAACACGCCACCCTCCCCAGACTGAAATAAGGATTCGCTTCAGGCCAGGGCACTTTCGCATTTCAGTCTCAGACACTGGGAAGCGCAGCCCTGCCGATGCTGCTGATATTGCCTGATGCAACATGCTCCCTTATTTTTTTTCTTCCCCTGCAATTTTAATACAGTGAAACTACTTGAGGAAAAGTCCAGAGATACTGGAGTCAATCAGTGTTGTCAGAAAAGTGGTGGCAACAGTTGGCGCTTCAGAGGTTTGCATGGGGAAAGGCAACAAACCCTGCTCAAGACCGTGGAGGCTTCGTGTAGACCAGCAGCAGCTTTGAGACAAGTGGAAGAAAACTTGAACGCAAAGAATGACAGGGGCCATTTTCCCAGATGTCCAACACAGGTTGAAACATAGGTGTTGTCCTCCACAGCCCTTCTTGCCATGTGATGTGGATGGAGACAGAGAAGGGCCAACATCCTGGAGCAATGATGCTGGAGTCAGAAGAACCATGAGGCAGCAGCTTGGCATGTGCCGTCATGCTGAACTGGGGTCCTGCCACATCTCCAGAGGGAAAACAAGGAACAAGTGAGGACTGTAGGGAGCCTGAGGGCACCAACAGTCCTCAGTTGCCCCAGTCATCCTCACTTGGGACCTCCACCCATGACCCATTGCTCCAGAAGCTCTATTTAAGCTGAGGTCTGGGCAACTACTTTTTTTTTCTTGGGTTGTCCTGTAGGTGTATCTGTTCTTAGGTTTTCCCAGATTGATCTTAGAGTTTTCTTGGTGCCTTGCTTTTACTGGGTGACGCCTGGACTGTTGATGGGCCCCATTGGTGCTACCAGTACCACGCTCTGCTTGCCTGGCTGTGGGGCTGCACCCAGGCCCATGTTGTGCCTGTCCCCGATTCCTGGTTCACCTTCCCTCAGGTGGGTGGGTGGTCTTTGTTGTTCTACAGGGTCGTAGAAGAAGGATGCAGTGCTGTGTAGGTGTTAAGCTCACGGCAACACCATCTGGCTCTCTTTGGCCCCATTCCTGATGGAGCCCAGCTCCCTTATCCTTAGGTGACCCTTAGTCCCCTGCCTGCCTTCCTCCACTTGAGATCCCCTATCAATTTTCATCAGTCTCATGAAATTTCCACAATCCTGTTTAGACCCAAACCTAATTGTGATCCCCTCCTGCTGCTTGGCATCCTCAAAACCTTCACTGGTACCTCGCAGGCTCCTTCAACCCTGGTGAGCACCTTCCTCCATCCCTCTCCAACCCCACTGAAATTCCCCTATGTCCTCCCAGCTCTTCTCCTTTCACGAGCACTCACCAGCTTTCTGCTAGTGGTTTTGTAACCTTTAACAGCAAGTTCCTTGAGGGTTTTTCTGCAAAATACTTTTTTCCTGTTGACCCTGGTTCTCTCTATGCTGCTCATGGGAGGGACAATCCTGTAAATTCCTCACCAGACCCTTCCATGGTTGCGTCCTGCTCATGCAAAGTGGTTTTTCATCTTGTGCTAGTGTGATGGGGCTATCTCCCTTATTGTGCATTCTCCCATGGCAATTGTTTAATTTCCTGCTTGCTCCCCATGCCTGTGGCTTGTCTCCCGGCACTCCTGATAGTTTCGAGTTTTCTGGCAGCTTCACTGCTTGCTCAGGAGGGCTGGGACAGCAGTTTTTTAATAATTTGATGGAGCTGGTTCCTGTATAGGAGCTAGTAGGGTTGTGCTGGCAATTAGATGGGTAAGACCTGGGCTTAAGGGTCCTTATTTGACTTGGGAATTGCTGAGGAATGCAGAGCTGGGAGGGAAGAGGCAAAAGAAAGAGTTCATCTGAGGTTGAGCTTTTCCTTGCAAAAGCCAAACCCTGCGTGGAAGGCATCTCTGCAGCACTTCACTGTGAGGCTCCACCATGGGATAAAGCCCTTTTTTTGTACAACCCAACCAATGTTTCACCTGCCACCTATATAATACCATACCACTGGAAGCCTGTGCAAGGGCTCATTTTCATCCAGGGTCATTCATAAAAATGCACGGTACTAAGGAGAGATGCCAAACCCCAAGGTGGATCCAAAGCACGTGCACAGCTGGAAAGCGGTGGAGGTGAAATACGTGTTTTAAGTCATTAATCTTCTCCTCAAACCCAAAATCAAGCTGCTGAGACTCGCCAAGGGCACCCTCTGGCGGCAGGGAGCTTGGCGGAGGGACTCTAAATTTCGAGGGCCGGGGAAGAAACGACCCTCGGCAGGGAGCTTGAGGGTTTTGTGGATTTATTTAAAAGCAAAGAGGCGCTTGCTTGAGTAAAGCCACTCCCGGCCTGGGGTGAGACCTGGCGGGCGGCCGCCTGAGGGGGCTGTGAGGGCGTTCGTGGCCCGGGGGAGGCGGGCCCGGCCCCGCGGGGCAGAGCTGCCATTTCGCGGGCGTCCCTCCCGCGGCGGGCGGCACCGCCCCCTCCCTCAGGCTGCGGGGCGCGACATGGCGGCGG